CAAGAATGTGGCTCACTCAGTTCCAAAGAAGGTGTATATTGATATACTCTCTTAACAACCCTCTGCTCTCTAACAAGTCACCCAGTTACCTCTGGGACACTCATAGTTCTATAGGTCAGTATCCAGGATGGTGTGGCAGGGTTCTACTCAGGACCTCACAAGGCTGGAAACAGCATGTCAGCATTCTTAGCTGGAGCTTGAGGTTATTTTACAAACTCATTCCTGCTGTCTGCAGAATTCAGTTCTTGGTGGGTGTAGGACTGAAGTTCCCGTTTTGTTCCTGGCTGCTGGCCAGGTTGCTCTCAGTTCATAGAGACTGTTCTGAGGACTTTTCCATGTGTCCTTCTCCATCTTCAAGCCAGCAATAAGCAAATGGAATCCTTCTTGTGCCTCTACTCTCTGACTTCCTCTTCTGCAGCCAGCTGTGGAAAACTTTATTCTTTTAAAGGGTTTGAATAATTAAGTTATAAACACCCAGAAGTCTCCAAATCTTGACACCATCTTATTTGGAACTTCAACCATATTTGTTAAATGTCTTCACATCTGCATCTGTCCTAGTGGTTTATTGAGTAAACCAGGAACTGAGAATCTGAAGGCGTACCTTGGAAATCTTTGTCAGTTTGACATACATAATGAATTCTTAAAATGCTTGTTTTAATTTGCATTTCTCTTATTCATTGTGAATTTGAGTATTTCCTTGTGTACCTTAGCCATTTGGATTTCCCTTTCTATAAATCTGCTTTTTCTGAAAATCATATCCCTTGCCATTGAGGAGCAGCTTATTTTCTCGTTCTTATTTGCTTGGTGGGAGGTTTTTATATATTCTGTCCATTGATCGCTTGTCAATTTTAGATGTTGAAAATATTTTATTGTAAATCTATCATTTTTTTTGATAACTGCCTGTATCTTCTTTTATTAAATTTTAATGTAGTCAAATTTGTCAGTTTTTTAATTTTTATCATTTGCAGTTTGGGGATCTTCTTAAAGAAATCCTTAACTACTGGCAAAGTCATAAAGTTGAATGCTTAATTCATATATTTTATTCTTTCTTCACTACTAACAGAAGTATCTAAGATTGCAAATCTTAAATTTACAATCCTACATTAGTAGTTTTTGACCCTATTAGATCCTTTAATTACTTGTTTATATATACTTTTTAAGAAATTGAGGTAAAATTCTTATAACATAACATCTACCATTTTACAGGGTACATTTTTGTGGCACTTAGTACATTTACAATGTTATATGACTACCACCTCTGTCAAGTTCCAAAATAGTCTCAATACCTCAGATGAAAACCCCATGCCCATTAAGTAGTCACTTCCCATTTCTCTTTCCCCCCAAACCATGGTTCTCACTAATCAGTCTCTGTGTATTTATCTACTCTAGTTATTTCATGTAAACAGGATCATACAATGTGTGGCCTTTTATGTTCTTCTTTTACTTAGTATAATGTTTTCAAGATTTATCCATGTTTTAGCATAGGTACTTCATTCCGTCTTACGGTTGAGTAGTATTCTATTGTTTAGATATATTACATTTTGTTTATCTGTTTATCCATAGATGGACATGTGAGTTTTTTCCACCTTTGGCTATTGTGAATATTGCTGTTATGAACATTAATGTACTCATTTATTTGAGTACTTATGTTTAATTCTTTTAGGTATATACCTAGGAGTTGAATTTGTTGGTTGTTAGAGTTATTTTTTATCTTTTTAAGAAACCACCAAAATTGTTATACCAAGTAACTGCACCATTTTACATTTTTAGTTTCCTTCTATCAGAGTCAAAAAAAATAATTTGTGTGATTTCAGTCTTTTTAAATTTATAGACTGGTTTTATATTCTGGCATGTGGTCTACCCTGGACAATGTTCCATGTGCACTTGAGAAGAATGTACAATCTGCTGTGGTTGGGTGGAGTCTACCATTTTAAAGTTTCCTCTTAGCCCTGGCCGGTTTGGCTCAGCGGTTAGAGCATCGGCCTGCGGTCCGGAGAGACCCGGGTTCGGTTCCCGCTAAGGGCACGTATCTCAGTTGCAGTTTTTCCCCGGCCCTGGTTGGGTCATGTGAGTGGCAGCCACTCGATGTGTCCCTTTTACGTCGATGTTTCTCTCTCTCTCTCTCTCTCTCTCTCTCTCTCTCTTCCTCTCTCTCCTATCCGAACAAAAAATGGAAGAATGTCCTTGGGTGAGGATAAAAAAAAAAAGTTTCCTCTTAATTCAGCATTTGTTTGGTTACTATAAACCTTTGACTATTTTCCAGAGTTCCCATAGTTGATTCTGACGGTTTTGACTCATTATTTTAATTTTTTCTGTGGAGGGAAAGACCTTTGAAACTACCTATCCCACCATTTTTGCTGACATAACTCTCAGCAATTACTTTTTAAAACACGTTTTATTTTTTTTAATCTTTATTGTTGAGAGTATTACAGATGTTCTCCTCTTTTTTTTTCCTTGTTTGCCCCATCACCCGGTTCCCACTCTGCCCTAGGCTTACAACAGACGTTTTATAATGTCCCTTTAATATCCTGAAATAAAACTTATAGGTAATATAACTTAATACACACCGAAGTTTAAAAAATTAATGTACTACATTAATTATAATATAAAGGAGAAATAATGGAAGTAATTCATAAAAAGTAGCATGAATTTCAATATGTAAGTATTACATATGACATTGCAAGGCATAATGAAATAGTGATATGTTTGTACTTATTTAAATATAAGTTGGCCCTGGCTGGTGTGGCTCAGTCAGTTGGTTGGATGTTGTCCTGTGCACCAAAAGGTTGCCGGTTTGATTCCTGGTCAGGGTACATGCCCGGGTTGCTCCAGTTTCCTGGTACATTTCATATCTCACATCAATGTTTCTCTCTCTCGGGGGGGGGGATCAGTAAATATAAGTTAGATTTAAGAGATGTAAAAAGATCAGATTCCATTTTGTACAAATGCTACTAATAAAAGACTAAAATCTAGTAATAAAAATCACACTTTTTTACATGTACAGTAAAAGAGAAATCAAAATAAAACTTCAATAAAAATTACAGAGTAAAGAGGTAAAGGAAAGGAGAAAGTATAATATTTTTATATGTACAGAGCCTTATTTGAAAAATAATTATTTAGTAACTAGTAAAGAAATATCAGAGAACATATCTTTTATTTTGAAATCCTAACACATTTCAGGTCAAATAGTTTAGTCAAGTATTTATGTCCTTGGAAACAATATTTTTTTCAGTGATATTGGGATTTAAAGATGGATTTTTTAAAAACAACAATAACACACTTGAAAACTATGATTTTATTAACCAGTGTCACTCCAATACATTTAATTAAAATAAACTGATAAATATTTGAAGAAAAATCTAAAATTTGATACATTTAATATCATTATATTATCATTATTTAAAAAGCAATGATATATGATCTCACTTATTTGTGGAATATAATGAATATAACAGTCTGAGGAATGGGGTAGTTCCAGAGATGTGGAAGTGGGGTACAGACTGACAATCCCCAGAAGAGGGGGTTGGGGGGAGAGATAAACCACAGAACTTATATGCATGTGTGCATGAACAATGGACATGGACAACAAAGCTGGGGACAGGGCAGGGAGGGGGGGAATCAGTAGGGGGTGGGGAAGTAGAAACATCTGTAACAAAAATAAATTAATTAATTTAAAAATTTAAAAAAGCAATGATAGGACATTTTAAAGTAATATCAAAGTAGGTTTGAAAAATAATAGGCAATTACAAATTAAGTGAATTATTTCAGTTGATAATTTTTACAGTAGATTTCTCATTAATACACATGTATGTCTATACATGATATACAATATTTTTAGAACAACCAATTGAATTAAATAAGATTACTCCATTTCAGGTACTAAGTCTCTTAAAAGGAGTCTTACATCCTCTATTGCATATTTAAAATTGAATTTTTCTTTTAAATCCTCACTAGAGGATATTTTTGCCATTGATTTGGTGTGTTGTTTTTTGTTTTTTATAAGAGAGCAAAAGGGAAGGAGGAACAGGAGGAGAGAGAGTGAGAGAGACATCAATGTGAGAGAGATACATCGATGAATCCTGCAACCCAGGTATATGCCCTTAACCAGGAATTGAACCCGAGACCCTTTGGTCCACGGACTGATGTGCTGACCACTGAGCACACTGACCAGGGTGATTTCATTACTTTTATAGTAATTGCACCATTACAATTAAACATTTTCAAATAAATGCACATGTGAAATATAATAGTTGATAAATTAACTAGCGTCTTTCAACAAAAAATGGGTACAATAGTCATAATGATTCAGACGCTTTATTAATTATACTATTTAAATTGTGTTTGACCTCTAAATAATTTTTTAGCTTAACTGTTATAAATGTTGGCTAGCTTATTTGCTATACATTTCAAATGGAATAATCACCCTAAAGATTTTTAAATCAAATTACTTATAATGTTTTTTAAAGATAGGGTCCTGCTCTTCTTACCTCCAAGTCGTGGGAAAAAATGAAAATGAAATGAAATAATGTGTTTAAAAGTTTATAACATGTTTATAAACATTTGTATTAAGTACATTATTATTAATAATTTAATAACAGGTCTAGAGGTCATTCCCTTAAGAAACTTAAATCTTAATCATGGGTCAAAATTTTAAGAGATTCTATAATTATTCACATTTAAAAATTTCAATTCATAATCTCTTGCCTTGATTTGTCCCTCAAATCAGAATCACTTTTTAGGAAGAAGTTCATTTTGTGACAAAAATACTTTGTCCTTTGGCTGTTGAATGTTTTGAAAGTATGGGGCAAACTTTCTTGACCTAAGCACTTCCCAAACTGGCATTTTCTCTTTTAGGTGTGTACTGAAAACTGTCTTCATTTTTATGAGAATGACCTGGCCTCACATTGTTTAATTGTTTATGATGTTTAGTCATAGTATATATGTGAGTAGAAAAGCAAAGCATGTAATAGCTTTATGTGGTTTATGCTTTTCATTTGCAGCCTCCAAGCAAAGGAAAGGTACCTGAAGAGAATTTCTTCGATGTTCCTGCCTTCTTAACTGTCTCGGGACAACTTCACCTAGAAGTGATGTCAGGGTACAGAATTTTCTTTTCTCTTTTGCTTTAATGGATTACTGATTATGGATTGGGTGAGAGTGAAATAATGCTTCCTTTCCCAGTGCTAAAACTAAAAATTGAAATTAGTGTTTGTGGTCAGTCCACTTGGATTCACCAAAAGTTCTTTCTTTCGTTCATTCATTCATTTTTACAGGTTTTTTGTTTTATTGTTTTATTTGGAGAAAATGCTTCTTATAAAAGGGCAGCTGTAGCCCTGGCCGGTTTGGCTCAGCGGTTAGAGCATCGGCCTGCGGTCCGGAGAGACCCGGGTTCAGTTCCCGCTAAGGGCATGTACCTTGGTTGCAGTTTGTCCCCGGCCCTGGTTGGTTGTGCGGGTGGCGACCACTCGATGTGTCCCTTTCACATCGATGTTTCTCTCTTTCTCTGTTCCTCTCTCTCCCTCCCACTCTACCTGAACAAAACATGGAAAAAGGTACTCGGGTGAGGATGATAAAAAAAAAAAAAAAGGGCAGCTGTAAAATACAGAGACCTCTGTAGCAATGACTTGTTTTTCTTAAAGTGAAAGAATGGGTGGAACCTAAGGAACGAGCATTAGATGGGACAGCTCAGGAGCATGTCCAAGTTATTTTCAGGAAACAGCAACAAAACCCAAGCTCAATTTTCCAGTCAAGGAATTCTAACAATTTAGCTGGTCTCATGGATTACCAACCCCTCCTCCCTTTAGTGGGAAAGCATGACTTACTACTGCAAACCAATGACTCCACTACAAGAAACACCTGAGAACACAGTTTTGAATCACATTTGTCTACCTGCAAAGCTCAGGGATGGAATGAGGCAAATACCCACAAAAGTGGGTATCATATGGTATTTTTCTTTCTCTGACTTATTTCACTTAGCACAGTATCCTCTAGGTCCATCCATGTTGTTGCACTTGGCAAGATTTCATTCCTTTTTATTGCTGAGTAATATTTAATTGTGTTTATTATACAGGGGTGGGCAAAAGTGAGTATGTGGAACAGAGTTTATTCTTATATTATTATTTATTTATTTATTCATTTATTTATTATTGTAATCTATTACTGTAAATCTACTTTTGCCCACTCCTGTATATATCCATCCATTGTTCATCCATCCATCTCTTGATGGACAGCTGCATTGCTTCCATATTTTGGCTATTAATAGTAATGCTGCAATGAACATAGGGGTGAAAATATCTTTTCAAATTAGTGTTTTTGTTTTCTTTGGATAAATACCCATAAATGGAATTGCTGGGTCATATGGCAGGTCTGTTTTTAACTTTTTGAGGAATCTCCATTCTGGTTTCCATAGTGGCTGTGCTAATTTACAGTCCCACCAATGATGTACAAGGGTTCCCTTTCCAACACTTGTTATTTGTTGATTTATTTATGATAGCCCTTCTGACAGGTGTGAGGTGATATCCATTGTGGTTTAAATTTGCATTTCCTGGTGACTGGTGAGCATCTTTGCATATGTTTATTAGCCATCTGTATGTTCTCTTTGGAGAACTGTCTATTCATGTCCTCTGCCCATTTTTTAAATCAGATTGTGTTTTTTTGTTGTTTTTATGAGTTAAACTGTATGAGTTCTTTTTTTTTTTTTAATCCTTACCTGAGGATATTTTTTTTTTTCCATTCATCTTCAGATCAAGTGGGAGGGAAAGGAGGGAAGAAAGAGAGAGACATATCAACAGGTTGCCTCCCACATGACCACAACCGGGGTCAGGGACCGAACAACACCTGAGGTATGTGCCCTTGACTGGAATCAAACCTGCGACTCTTTAGTCTGCGGGCCGACACTAACCCCTGAGCCAAACCAGCCAGAGCTGTATGAGTTCTTTATATGATTTGGATATTAACTCATCAGATGTATCATTGGTGAATATCTTCTCCCATGCAGCAAGATGTATTTTTGTTTTGTTGATGATTTCTTTCACTGTGCAGAAACTTTTAGTTTGATGTAATCTCATTTATTTCTTTTGTTTTCCCTGCTCAAGAAGGCATATCCAAAAGGTATTGCTAAGAGTGATGTCAGAGAGTTTACTGCCTATTTTTTTTCTAGTTTTGTGGTTTCAGGTCTCACATTTAAGTCTTTAATTGCTTTTGTGTTTATTTCTGTATATGGTCTAAGAAAGTGGTCCAGTTTTTTTCATGTATCTGTCCAGTTTTCCCCGCATCACTTATTGAAGAGGTTGTCTTTACCCAATTATATATCCTTGCCTCCAGTATTTGACCATTTTCTTATGCCTGTCAAAGTACAATTTAAAAAAATAAAATATGATTCATATAAATATAAAGTTAACATGTATCAAATATTTTATTGAATTCATTAATTACTGAGGTAACAAGTGAAATAGTAAGGCTAATTCAAAGAGCATTTGAGGAGCTGTATATTCATTGGCAATTTGATAAAGAAATTTTCTAATAAGATTACTAGGTTAGTTATAGACTGGTTAATATCCCACAGACCAATAAACCCTAATCTTTGGAATACCTGACAGAAGTGATTTACAGCTCTACTGGACAAAATTTCTAAGTTAATTTGTAACTTTAGTTAATCGGGGATATTTAATTCAATAGTAAATAGAATAATAGAGCCAAGTTCTTTCCCCTAAGTAATAACCTCTGAGTAGGTCTGTGTCCCCATATTACATTGAAAAGACATGCTGTCTATCTCTTGGTTTTATATATCCAAGTTTTGGATACCTTTCTTAGCCTTTTTAGTATTCATTTGTTTTATCTATAAAGTTAGAGGGAAAGTATCTTCCACTCAAAGTGTCATATGTGAAAGGTTTAAATTTATGAAATGTTGGTTTCTCTATTATATTATCACTAGTGGATTATATATTTTCTCTTTTTCCCAGTAAAGTGCAGTGAACCACAGAACACAGTGTACAAGGAAACTTGACAGAAGATTAAATTGGCAGAATATGAAGTTTTGTGTTTTTTGATGTGTTACAGAGTTTTTCTAATAATGTCAATCAAATGTTCTAGTTTAATATGCATAGTTCTAGGACTATTAATATACAGTACATCATGTCTCAGATTAATGCATGATTTAATCTCCAGTAAGAAATTGTTAGTTTTCTTTCTCTCTGCTTTGTTTTTCTTAAATTTTATTTTAATAGACTTTTTAAATGGTAGTTAAATTTAGAAAGTTAACATTTTCCAAAAGGATATCTGTATCTGTTTAGTGGGTTTGTGGCTCCATTTTAAAGGTTAATTTTGTTGTTGTTTTTAAATAGAATTTCTATTTTTGAATAATTTTTAAATATAGAAAAGTTTTGAAGACAGTACAGACTTTTTTATGCCTCTCACCCAGTTTCCCCCATTGGTAACATTTTAGATTACCATGGTGCATTTGTCAAAACTAAGAACCTGGTATTAGTGCATTATTGTTAACTAATCTGGATTTCACCATCAGTGTCTGTTTTCATTTTCCAGGATTCAGTTCAGGGTCCCAGGTTACATTTAGTTGTCATGCCCCCCCCCCCCCCAGTTTGTAAGTTTCATAGTCTTTCCTTGTTTTTCATGACTGCACGGTATATCCCAGTCTGGATGTGTCTGATGATTTTCTCATGATTACACTGGAGTTACGTGGATATGGGGGAAGAATTCCACAGAGGCAAAGTGCTGCTCTCATCACATCGTATCAGGGGATATATGAAATCCATATGGTGATACTAATTTTCATTATTTGGATAAGGTAGTGTTTGCCAAATTTCTCCACTGAAAAGGTACTGTTTATCCCTTTCTCTGCTTGACTCCTTGGAAGTGAGTCCCTAAGTCTAGCCCATCTCACTGGAGGCGGGGATGAGAGCTGGGAAGTGGGAGATGGAAGCAACCGCACCTCCTCAAGGTGGGAGTGCTCAGCATCCTCGGTGTGGAAGATTTGTTGTCTCCTTACCCTTGTGTATTTATTTATGTAATCATTTATATCAGGATGGATTCATATATGTTTATTTTATAATTTGGGTTCTACTTCCGTTCTGTGTTACTTATTTTGTTGCCCAAACTGTTTGTTTTCAGCTGTTAGAAACTCTTTCGGGTTCACTCTTGTATCCCTCTGACATGCCCCTGTCCTTCTGCTTTTTGAGTACTTCCTTATTCTCTGGAACTGTAAGATGCCCCAGACTTATTTATTTATTGGTTTTTTATTTTAATTTTTTTTGTGATTGATGAACCTACACTGACACATTATCATCATTCAGAGTCCATAGTTCATATCAGGGTTCACTCTTGGTATTGCATATCCTGTGGGTCCAGCAAATGTATAAAGACACGTATACTTCATTATACTATCATACAGAATAGTTTCACTGCTCTAAAAATACTCTGTGCACCTCTTCATCCTTCCCTCCCTCCTAACCCCAGCAACCACAGATCTTTTTACTGTCTCCAAAGTTTTTCCTTTTCCCAAATGTCATGTAGTTGGAATCATACAATACATACCTTTTCAGATTGGCTTCTTTTACTTAGTGATATGCATTTAAGGTTCCTCCATGTCTTTTCATGGCTTGATATCTTATTTCTTTTTAACACTGAATGATATCTCATTATCTGGATATACCACAGTTTATCCATTCACCTACTGAAGGGCGACTTCATTGCTTCCAAGTTTTGGCAATATCCCAGGCTTATTTTAAAAATGTGCCCTATCTTAGCCCTAGAATCAACCATTTTTCCAAAGAGCCCTGGATCTTTTTATGAGAAAATGGTATTTAGAAGCCAAGATGTAGTCACTGGGTATCTTGCTACTACTGGAGGATTATTGTTTCCAAGCATTCTCAGCACACAGAGCTGTAATATGTTTTCTACTTTTTTTTTTTTAAATCACAAGTAGGATTTATTGTCACCATTAAGAGTCTGAATTTTAAACAGATTCTTGGACTGGAGGCTCATGTTTATCAGCTCATTCAACTTTAGCACCTGTCTCATCCCCAGTAGCTTTTCCAGAACTGCTACCTTCACCATGAAGCTCCATGAGTTTTCCCAATTCAA